AATGAATTCAATATTTTCTCTTCTCTCATTCATCACTCTTTCGTCTTCCCGCCCATTATCTCTTCAGGGTCACATGCTTTATCTTATATTCCTCAACTTCATAAAGCCTGTCCTCTGCATTGCAAGCTGTTCACTCATCCAAACAGGTCATGGCATCTTCAACAAGTCACACAATACGTAGAAACTGCAGCAAGTCACCTAACGTCTCCTACACATGGATGTAACGTCCATAGTTTAAGGACTGCTCAGAGGGTTTCCTTCATAAATTAACCTGCCTGCCTTCAACCAGATGGCCAGCATTTTGCGTGTAGATTTTCCTAGTCACTATTAAATACATGTTAATGGCAGCAAAAATCTCCAGACTTGCTATATTTGCCTTTCTGACAGTGATGCATCTGCCCTTTGCCAAGCGTTTCATGTGACAGGACTCCTCAATAGCAGTGAGGATTCTATAAACCTCACCGTCAAAGTGAAGGTCACCGAGCCGTGTCATTTGTATATGTGCAGTGAATAGTCAGTCTCTCTGTGTTTTGTCAATATTTACTTTCAGGAGAAACTAATTATTTCCTTGTTTACTTGCATTGGTTTTACTTCCCAGTCCCTGTTCATTTTATAGGTCCTCTGCTTGTTTCTCTCTCTGGGACCTACGGGCCCCTCTACTTAAAGACTTTTGGAAGGGAAAATGAAACCCATTACTCAAAGTCTGGAGTTTAATTTTTCTAACTTTAGGACAGGAGTATTAACTTTGCCCCTCCCTATCTGTATTTAATTAGTAAAAATTAAACTCCGTGGACTCTAGCTCCAAGTCCTAGAGCAGAGTGATGAGAGCAGTTCCCACACAGCTTCTGCAGACCCAAACATTTTGTGCGTTATCTGGCCTCCTGTAGCACGCTCTCTGTGGCCTCCCCTCTTAAGACCCCCCCACAACAGCTTCTTCCAAGTAGCCATCACCTCCTCTGTCTTCGTGCTAAGAAACTAACTTTCTAATGGTTAAGTTTCAGAAAACAAAATTCTGTTCTTTGCTGTAAGTACCCACCACATATACTTATTAGTTCACCTATTCTCTGCCCCACAGAAATGATTACAAGGAAATAAAAGGTAAATTGTGTTCCAAAAGAGGCAGTTTGTTAATGGCAGTGGTGAAAAACAATTGAGTTCCTTAAGATGAAGCCCCGAGTAAATACTGGGGGGAAAAGTTGGTACTTAATCTGCCAAAGTAATCGCCAGGAACTGAAACAACAAAGATCTCAAAGCGAAGCAACTCCAGTAGTCCACTTGGTTCCCAATCCCTCTGTCCTCACAGCATGTGAACGTCAAGCCATCATCTGCCCTTTTATTACCCAGAAAGAGATGGGAGATGGCTGCCTGTGCTCTCCCACCTTGCCCCACCCATTACAGAAGCACAATGTACCGTTTGAAACAGGAGGAAAAATGGCCCTCAGCCCTCTTGATTCTCACTGTCCAATCAACACATTCTTTCTAGAAAATCTCACTCCATCAGTTTTCTAAAACTCTTGCCTTTGATTCCCCCAAATAGATCTCCCAAGAAGACTTCTTCCTTAGGGGTTCAAGATCCAAACTTGTTTTTCTGGCATGTAGGTGATTTCCCTGAAGGCAGGCAGCCTGGCTGGGTAAACAGGCCAGTTGGGGTGCTGCAAAGGGCAATAAGACTCACCAAATGATGAAAACAGGAAAGGCACCTGAGCTCTTCCAGGGGCCAGAAAATACTTTTAGAGTGACAGAGAGAGCAAATAAAATTCAGGTTATCAGATTCCATGCTCAGTTTTGCAAATGTACTTCCTCCCTCCCCCCACCAGAAGGAATAATTAAATTAAATAAATCCTTTATTATTCCTTCTGGGGGGGAGGGAGGAAGTACATTTGCAAAACTGAGCATGGAATCTGATAACCTGAATTTTATTATTATTTAATATCAATCTAAACTACATTGAAAAGAAAGAAATCCAAATGTGTATCTCACATGACGCATGGGACACAGCTCATCACATTAATCTTTCAGAAAATACCTTTTCTTTGATGCTCTTTCTATGGATAAGATTATTTATCCATTGATTCTCTGTACTTTTATTGAGAGCCCCCTACAGGCCAGCAGGCCTTAAAAACCCTAAGGCAGTGAACCCCAAGTGTAAAGAGGGCCATTTCTGCCCCTGGTTTAACTTATTTTGTGAACTTCAGTTAAAAACATATCTTTCCTTCATAAAGTCGGTATAGGAGTGACACAAATAAAAATTACTACAAGTTGACAAATAAAGAATGTACTCTGTATTTAAATTACTACATGAGAAGCTGGTAGATTAGTCACGAAAGATGTTTCTGTACCATGCAGTATCTTCTCAGTGTAGCCAATTAAATGTTTTCAAAAGAGTTTTCATTAACAGATGCAACCAGTAGGGGTCATTTTAGTGCAAAAATTGCAGCAAAAGAGACTTTAACATGAATAAATATATCAAGTTTCCTATTCATGTTGGGTATAGGGATCACACTTCAGTATGTGAATTTCTGAATAAAAATGGAAACTGAGGGAAACAGATTTCTCACAAAGTAGATAAAAGAGAAAAGCAATACCTTCTAGACAATTACTGACATGTAAAGACTCCTCTACTCCTTAAAATGGAAGTAAAAGGGTTATTTACTTATCCTGTGCTTTCCATAGATCTTGTAGCAAGGTGAAAACATTTCAAATTTTAGATACACAACAGAAAATACCCCTCTGAACACAACCATTATAAATAATATACCAGATAAACACTGTCCTTATTTTGGCTTCATGGATTTAGATGCAACCTGACTGCTTTTAAAATTCTTTAAAAATAACCAACAGTTCCCTGAGTATACAATTTTAGTAGGTGAAAACAAGTCTGCTAAACAAAGTGTTTTTAGAGAACACTAATTGAGATAGAATCATGTCAACAAATACTTGCAAGCATTTTCAAAGCTAATACCAAGTTCACGGGGTGTTACCAGAAGAAAGGAAGCTCTGAGGGATCACATCATTTCAGAGGAATGAAAGGCTCACCAAACTGCCAAAATAACTCTATACTGTGACATGGGATGTTGCTGCCAAAACATGTGATTACTGTAAATGTTCTCTGAACATTTCCTTCACCAGAAACACATTAAGAAAGAAAATGAGGGTTAGAATCTGTGGAATCTCCAAGGGTCCTTCTCAGAGCACAGGATTTTCCACTGTCTTTTAACTTCATTCTGTGTTGCTTGTTCTTGATTTAAGGGAGGCTAGATTAGGTTATATACCCCAAGTGGCAGGGTCCAAAGACACATCTTTTAGCTTAAGTCATTCAGAATCCCCAAAGTCAAACACATAAAATTGTATCAGGAGTTAGTCTGAGGGTCATTTTTCCTGAAGTTGGAAATACAAGCATGTTATAAAACAGGGCTTAATACCAGCTAAGATGCTTCTGTATTTCAGGTAATGAATGAACTCTTCTGAACAAATGTCTTAAGGCTGCAGCAGAGCAAGTTCCCTCCCTCTGAGATCAGTTCCCTCCACTCATAACTGCCCACTAGCTTCCAAGCCAGAAAGGCCTCCTCTATTTTCCAGTACTGTCCAAACTCTTAAAAACTACAGGTATAAATCTGTATGTGTGTGTTCTGTGTGCGTGTATTGAGAATCACAGGATTGATGCCTTTTAGTAGATCTACTGGTATCCTGAAGGTTGTCACCTGCTTTTTCAATATCCTAGCACAATAAACATACACACTTACGCGCGCGCGCACACACACACACACACACACACACAGGCTTCCAAATAAACCCTTCCTGGTCTCTCAGGTGCTGGCTGTGAGTAGTATGGAAGAGAAGTGGGCAGAGGGCGCCTGTCGCTCCTAGCCACTCCCCCCAGAAATAAGGCTTCTGCACTCAGCTCACTCACCAGGATGCCCCGGAACAGCATCATCAGCTCAACGTCAGCCCAAGCAGGGATCCCACTTCTAACTGGTGCTCACCGAATCCTGACCCCGTTCGCTACCTAAGAAGAACTCACTGACTCACTCTGGCCCTCAAACCAGACCAGGCACCCCGAGGCCGAGGCAGGCGGGCAGGGATTAAGGCCGACACGCACCGACAGTGGTTCCCCAACCAGAAAGGCTCCACTAATCTAATCTCTTTCTCTCCACCCGCCCCCCTGTCGGTCTCAGCACCGTGCTGGAGAAGCCAGCAGAACCAGCCCTGCTGTCAAACAAAAAGAAGGAACCGGCAACACGACTGGAAACACGCGGATATCTGGTTTTAAAAAGCAGCCACTAATAGTCAACACAACTTTTCACTCCCAGGTGCAACCCCCACCCACCCATCCCACCCTTTTCCTTTCAGAAGAGAAAGCCTTTGACCGTTTTCAATAGGCAAATAAATGAGTAACCACCGTAAGTAACTTCCCCTGGGCTGACATATTCCGGAGCTGAAATTGATTTATATGCGAAGGAGGAGTAGAGGGGTGAAGGAAGAGCGCAAGGAAGAAATAGTAAGAGGCACACAGGGAGTATGAAGCAGAGGCACATCTCCTCAGCCAACAGAAAAAGGACTTCCGTGGACGGTGCGCAGCACACGGTGCCACACTGCGCTAGTGCAGGGAGGGCGGCAGGGGCCGGGCTTCCCCGAGGGGCTCGCGCGCGGCAGCCTCTGCAGTGCTCCCCGCCCCCGGGGCCCCCACCTCGGGGCTCAGGCCTGGGCCACCCAACCCAAGCCAGAATGGCCACACATGTGCGCGTCTGTAAGGGGCTGGGGAAGGGAGGTGCGAGCCTCTGCTCGTCCGCCCACGCCCACGAAATCCAACCTCGCCCGCTACCAGCCCAGTGTCGGGGGGAGCAGGGACGCGGGGGCTCTCTCCCGGGGGCGGCGGCCGCCCCTCCTCCCGCGGAGCCCTGTCTTCTCGGGAAAGTCTCCGCCAAACTTTGTTCTGCGCAGCCTGCGCCGAGGGGGCGGCGCAGGCCAGGTGGGAGGGGGCCCGCAGCGGGCGGCCGTACCTTCGCAGACGCCCACTTCGTACTCGGTGATGGAGTCGCCATTGAGAGGGGGTCTGATGACACAGCGCAGCCCCCGGTCGCAGGCACCGTGGAGTCCGTAGGCACCGCCGCAGCTCTCGTTCCTCTGGCGGGCGCACATGTAGCAGCAGCCGCAAACGCCCTGCACGATGCTCCCCGGGCAGCTCCTGGGCTCCTCGCACTTGGACTCGTCGCAGGGTAGACAGACCAGCGCCCGGGTGCCGGAGCGCGCCAGAAGCAGCAGCAGCCCCAGCAGCGAGACCAGGAGGTGCCCGCAGCCGGCCAGCCCCCTGCCCCCCGCCACCAAGTACATCCTCCTGCGCCGCCGCCTCCTCCTAGCAGCCGGGCCGGGAGCGGGGCGGGTGCCCTCCCTGCGCGGGGCACACGCGCCGCCGCCGCCGCACCCGCAGCCCGCGGTCCTCGCTGCCCCCCTCGGGGCCCCCGGGGCGCGCCTCCCCTAGCGGGGCGAGGCCCCCGCCCCCGCTGCGGGCCGCGCCGACCCCGAGCCCACTAGCGTCGGCGGCAGCGGTGGCTTCCCCTCCTCCTCCTCCTCCTCCTCCTCCCGGGAGGCAGGGGTAAAAAGAAAAAAGTTTCCTCCCGGGAGGAGGAGGTTCAACCCAAACTTCTGGCGGCGGCGGCGGCTGTGCTCGGCTCTAGCCCGGGCTGGCGGCGCCTCCTCCCTCTCCTCCTCCAAGTCGCTCGGCCCAGCGGCGGCGGCGGCGGCGCAGCCTCCGGGCGGGTCCCCGCCTCCCGAGCCGCCGAGTGGGCGCGGTGGTGCAGCAGAAGGTCCGCGGCGTCCGCTCCGCGCGCCCCGCTCGCCTCACTCCTGCGCTGCTCCTCCGGGCGCTTGTTTATGGCTCGAGCCTCCGCCGCTCGGGCTGCGCCCTCCCCCATCCTACCTCATCCCCCAGACCTCGCCCCCACCGCGCCGCGCGCTGCTCATTGGCTGCCTCCCCCCGCTCTCGGCCGGCCGGCCCCCTCCTCCTCCCTCCCACTCTGGCGGCCGGGCCCTTCCTCCCTCACACGCCTCCTCCTCCTCCTCCTCCTCCCCCTCCTCCTCTCGGAGCCCGGCGCACCGAGCCGGCCCTGTGGCCGAGCAGCTGCCCCAGCCCGGGCACCGCGGACGCGCTGCGGATCTGCTCGCGGCGCACCCAGCGAGCAGCGAGAGTCGTGGCGTCCCGAGCGCCCGCTGGCACCGTGGCTGCATCGGCTGTCCCGGGAGCCAGGAGGGCGAGGCAGCTGCACCTTCGGGGGGCAGATTTGAGCTCAGAGAGTGGCTGAGCTCCCAGAAGCTCGGGGCCTGGGCGACTGCCGCAGCCTCGGCTGGGCATTCGCCGGATCGAACCCCGGGAAAGGGAAACAAATGCACGGAACCTCCGCAAACTGGACGAGAATCCATCTTTCACTCCAGCTGGGAATAGACTTTGTAAAACATATTATGTAATGGAGTCTCGGGAACCCCGAGACGTCTCCAGCAAAGCTGCTGGTGAATTAATTAAGTGCTTTAAATGGTGTAGGTAAATATTCTGTAGGGGTGGAGAAGACTGTTGAGGATGGCTGTAGCTTGAGTTGAATTTTAACTGTCCACATCCTGTGTTTTGTTGCTCAGCCGTCTTTGCCGGGGTGCTATATTGTGGGAGGGGTGACTGTGAAGTAACAGAGCTGAGTCTCCCTCCCTGGAGTAAAGCCGGATACTGGATTACTACGAGTCTTGACATGACGCTAGACCCGTAGATTTCGTGCCTCCTTAATGTCATCTGACATTGCCGTTTTCTTTCTCAAGCTCATGGAAAAAAGTGATGGTTTTCCTTTTTTATTTTTCATTGATTGCGAATGTATTAATAAAGAAGATGCGTGATAAATATTCTTGTGATAAAGCAGGTAAAAGAGCAGCCGAAGTGATGCAAAAAGCATAGTGTGGAGACCACTTCTCTCCTGCGCTGTCAGACAAGGCTCTAGGAAGGATGGCTCTGATAATTGATCAGGTGTGAAGCAGTGATCCACTCCTCAGTGGCCGACCATTCACAGGATGGGTACCAAAGTCGATAACGTTAATGAATTGATAAAAAGTGATCAGCGTGGGAAAAAAAAATTCGATTCTAGGGCAGGTGTGAAGTGAGATTGGCCCACTGTCTGATCCAAGATGGTCTGGCTACTGGAGGGTAGCCGCCAAGGGAATCCTGAACATGGTGACTAATGAACCAAAGTTAATAGCTGGCAGCATACTGAGAAAGAAAACAAAGCTACCTTTGAAATCTGTGTGTGTATCCAATTTATACTTCTGATAAATATTTCAGTTTAAGCACTCTAATCCTGAACCGAAAAGGCAAAGTTACCAGTGGAATATTCCCTCATCCCTGGCATCAGAAAACTAAACATTTCTCTGATTGTATTTGTCCTGAGGAGAGGAAGAGATTCATTAATTATCGCTGATCATCAGAGGGTCATGGAGAAGATGCTCAACAGTGGAAAGGGGAAGTGAGGACCCCATTTTCCAGTGGGGTTTAAAGAGTTGCTCACATGACTAGTTTCTAAGTATGTTGATGAGAGAATTTCTGCAATTGTATAGGAAGTCAGATCAGATGATCTCCAAGGCCCTTATACCCTATGGTTCCACAATAAGTATTAACCGGTAAAATCATTTTTAAAATGCTAGGTTTTCTATTAGCAAAACTGAAGAAAAATGAAACACACTGCACTACATGGTTGCTTCTTATAACCCATCAAGGCAGCAGCACTACCCTGGGGGATTTGCCAACAAACTGTCATCATTACACTGTGTTAAAAGACTCCTTCCACTCTTGCAGAGGTTATCTGTATTTTTGTTCCAATGATAGTATAAAGACATTATTAAAATGTAGCAGATAACATTGTAGGACCCAACAGGAAAAGCCAAGGTCAGGTGGTAGAAAAAAGCCAGAAGTGAGAAAGTCTCCTTAGTTTGAAAAAGGGGCTAAACTGGGTGAGGTGGCTCATGCCTATCAATCATCCTACCACTTGGGGAGGCCAAGGCAGGATGATCCCTTGAGCCCAGAAGTTTGAGACCAGCGTGGGTAACAGTGAGATGCCATTTCTACAAAAATAAAAAAATTAGCCAGGCACAGTGCAGCACACCAGTGGTCCTAGCTAATAGAGAGGCTGAGGCAGGGGATAGCTTGAGCCCAGGTGTTGGAGATTGCAGTGAGCTATAATGAAGCTGCTGTTGCACTCTAGAGAATGAGACCCTGTCTCAAATATAGGAAGGGAGGGAGGGAAGAAGGGAGGAAAGAAAGAAGGAAGATCATTGTCAAAGTTTTGCTGTTTTGTTTGTTTTTATTTCTTTCTTAAGGTGCCACATTAAGGATTAGGGAAAGCTACAGACTGATTGCAGGCAAAGAACAGTATGAAGGTCACCATCCATCATTCCTGAGACTTCAGAGGCAGAATCACCTGGAAGGTAGACAGACCCAAGGCGAGAAAGGTAAACTTCTTACAGGGATTGAAGTCAGGCTTTTAAAGGACTAGAGAAATTCTTAAGACCAAAATGGTTGTATCATCTCCAAAAATTCAAGTTACACGTGCCCTTCGCCATAATTAATTAATTAATTAATAGTCATAGAAGCAGTAGAGAAAATAGGATTTCTTGAAGACAGAACTCGTGGCAAAGGAGAATCCTGCAAAGGCCCGGCAGTTTATCTGAAACCAGTGTGTGAACCAGGAGATCAGTTATGAAATAGTTGCTTCTTTTCTAGGATCCAGGAAAACGATAGAGTGGCCAGAATCCAAGACGATGACATTGAGGCTCAAACCCAAAAGGATTCCCTCATTTTCAGAGATCAGACTAAGGGTACAGGAAGAGGTTAGGTGAGACCTGGGGAAAGGTGGCATGGGTGAAAGTGGACAGAGATTACATGGACCCTGAAAGGCATGTACAGATGTAGGAATTGGAGCCATACAAGTACTAGAGTTTAAAGCCTTCTTGAGAGCCGATTCCTTTATCTGTTGTATGGCATTTGTAAGTACTTCTACTTGTAACATTTATCATTTTATATTATAAATAGTTCTTTAAATAGCTGTCAACCCAATTAGATTGTCAGCTCATTGGAGAGGGCAGGACTTTCAATTTATTTATGCATGCCTGAATGAGCTGAAAAAGAGAGAGAAGAAACTACAGACAAAAAGATACTTGAATATTTTTGTCTGTGGCCCTTATTTCTTGGATTTAGTAAACAGCTCTAAAATAAGCCCTTGAAATGGGTGGTTGGAGCAGGAGGGAGTCTTTTCCAAGCTGAGAAAAAACACAGATCTGAAAGGAAAGAGAATTAAAATCTATTTCTGATGGAGGTCTGGAAGAAGAGACAGTTCGCCCTCTATTGGCCATGGGGGGGTTGAAAGGGAGGGGATTGAGAATGGTTGAAAATGTCTGAAAATCAAGTGCGCAGTTGGGGGCCTAGCAGAAAGTGGAAATGAGAGGGCGGTAGGCAGAATGCCAGCATGAGAGCCCTTTTCTTGGACAGCGTCTAGTCCAGCCTCCCTACCGCAGTCACACTCTTTGAGATTTGCATGCTGTCTGTGTTTTCTCGTCCTGAAATGAAAAGCAATGAATAAGTTGCCTTTGAGTCTGATACACAAACTCTTGGAATTGAACTGTACAAGAGGAAAAAAGTCTCATTATTATATAAAAATGTTTCATGCATTTTAGAAAGAGCCGTGATGAAACCAAGATAACAGATCTGGCTCCTTTCACTCTCCTGTCTCCACCTCTCTGGTTCTCTCAGCGGGGATTGTTGTGTGTGCCTGTATACATACAGTGTTCTTAATCTAGACTTGGCTATTTCAGTGTCATAGACTGACCACTAGTTTCGGAGCTCAGCCATCTGATCTTGGACTGTGTTATCACCACCTAGTACCTCATTTTTACTAAGGGGGGTTCTTGTTTGACCTACTCTACCTGTGCGTGGCAGCTGTTCCAGAGCTACCAGAAGGCCAGCAAGACATATGCATAGAACGCAAGGTGTCTTTAACGTTTGATCTAGGATCTTGCCTCTCTCTTTCTCTCTATCTCTTTGAACAAGTTGAAATAAGTTATTTATCCTTTCTAATTCTGTTTCCTCCTCTATAAAATGGAGACAAAAATACCAACCATACAGAGTACGGTGTGAAAAAAATGACTGTTCTCCTTTTCTATTGTTATTTTTAAGTACTTCTTATTGAGTTTGTCCTCAAGTTTATGCTTGAGCTGGAATCACTGCTAGCATCCATTGCTGACAGATATTTCCTATCTTTTTCCTTCTGAGTATATTCTGTTGGCCCTACTTTGACAACCTGTCTAGTCTTGAAGTTTCAGCTTT